CCAGGTACTGCTGGAGCCAGGGAGTGTTCACTCCCAAGAGCAGGGCTGGCTGTGGGCTCCAGAAAAGCCTCTGAGTTCAGGATCTCCTCTGGGTCCCAAGGGCAGCTGCCATCCAAGGACTAGATTCAGGAAAAGGAACACAGCAGAACAAGCAAGGGAGGCTTGAAAAGTGACGTGGGAAGAAAAAAGTCATCCTCATAAAATGCCCACAGAGGGAGCACTGTCCCTGGAAGGGAGAGAGGCTGAGCTCTAGAAGAGCAGAGCCCCCACCCACCAGGAAGTACCTGTGACCCCTCCCTCTTCACCCTCCAGCTCCAGACACGCCTCTACAGGACTCTCCTCCTGCCAAACAGGCTCCTCCCAGTGGCTTTACGAAGTTGGAAAGAACTCCCGAGGTCACCCAGCAAATACTGCCGGCCTCGGGGAGGGAGCCTCGGGGTGCCTGCAAGGTCAGCCCCTTCCAGGGGAGGCACCCATGTGAGGGCAGAGCTTTAGAGGCCTGCCCCGCCTCTCCAGCCTTCCAGCTCAGGTGTGAACTGTCCCTGGCCGTACACACATCGTATCCAAAATCTGCTGAAGCCTTGCGGTCCCCCCAGGCCCAGCACCCCCCAACCCCCCATCCCCAGCATGTTCCAGAACAGACAAGCTCTGATGCGGCAGCTGGGAGCACAGCCACCCCAGGGCAGCTGGCTCAGTGGCAGAAACCAGCAAGCAGGCCCAGTGGCCCTGGGAGAGCCCTGGCTTCAACCACCCGCAGTCCTCCCTTATTTGTAGTTACGCTTATGCAAATGCCTTATTTGTGCCTTCTGGAGAATGCTCTAGTAACCTAAAGGTAGGAGCCACAGAAGCACTGTGGGGCCCTGCAGCCAGTGGAGCAGGCACCCCGGAGTCTGGTCCCGAGTCTGGTCCCGGTGGCTGGGAGGGAGGGCCGAGGCCGCTCCAAGCTCTAACCCGCCGGCCTGAGTTGGCAGCAAGGACTAGCCCCTGACCAGCAGCGCACACCTGACCCTCGTCACCTTCCTTCCAGAAAGGCTAGCCGACTGTTGCGGGGAGGGGGGGGGCGGGGAGCGTGAGCACCGTCAGTTTTTGTAGGAAGGCCCCCTACAAATTCAGGGTATCTTTACCACAGATCTTCCGATTTTCTTACAACAGCAAGACCACAAGCAGTTCCGGCCCTGCTGCCACAGGAGCTAAATGGGATCTTCCAGATGCAGGAGGTGGTTGCGAAGTGAACACGACGTTCTCAAAGCACCGCCAGACTTTTCAAAAGCTCCTGGCTTTTATTTTAAGTCACTCCTCCGGCTAACGGAGGGCTCCATCCGATGCTCCCACTGTCAGAGCCCGCTCAAGAGAGACCTTTGCCCCAACACCAGGCAAACAAGACGCCATGTGAGCAGGAAAGGGAGCCCTGCTTCTGTTGGCATCCTCTGGGGGCACCCAGGGCTCCAACAGGTGCGGGGGGCGGGGAAGAGGGGGACAAACTCGGTGGGACAGGACACGCTGGAGGGAAAGGGGGAAACCCTGGTTGCGCAGTAAAGCTGACAGGGAGTCTGTCCCCATCCCCCGTGAGTGTCTTCAGCCCTGCAGGAGCCAGGGCCCCAAGGAGCCCGCAGTGCCCTCCACAGCCCCCTGCGACGCAGGCAGGGATGGGTGAGCACGGACCCTGGGCCCTGGCACCCAGTCACACAACTTGGCAGTCACTCCGTCCACTGCACGGGGATTCCTGCCCTTGAGGACACTACCTGCAGCCGAAGGGGAAGGCCACCCCACCCCCCAGTCTCAGGTAGCCAGTCTTCTCAGGTCCCCAACCCCAGTGGCTCTGGTTTCTGGGCAGAGCTGTCCTCACCCTTCCGGAAGCCCTGGGCTCCCGAGACCCGGGCAGGGGTCACCGCCGGGCAGCCCCAGCGGCTTCCACCTGTCCCCCAGCGCAGGGCACCCAAGCGCCAGCCACTTCCCAGTCCTGCGGGGCCCAGGGTCCGCGAAGGAAGTGCCCCCCCCTTCCCAGGGCTGGGAGGTGGGGCTCCGGGGACAGGTCCCGAGGGGAAGGAAGGGGCCAGAAGGGGAGAAGAGGGGGAGAGGGGGGGACAGGGAGGCTCGGAGGGGGAGTCCGGGAAGGCTAGGGGGCCGCACCGAACCCCTGCTCCCACCCCTTCCCCTCTACCTGCAGTCTGGCATCCGGCTCCACCTGGCCGGCGCGGGAGGCACCCCACCACTTAAAAGTTGCAAAGTGAAACTCCAGCGCCTCCCGCACATGCGCAGAGCCACGCGCCGCCGGCCCAATTCTCCGCGGTGACCAGCGCCCCTCGGCCCTCACCTCGCGCAGTGCGCAGCCTGCCCGATCGGGCCTGCAGCCGCCCCCCAAACAACACGCAGCTCGGCTCCTGGCGGCGGTCTCCAGGAGGCCTGCGGCTCCCAGGGTCCGGACCCAGCTGCCCTGCCTCACGGGGAGCGGGTGGTGTGTGATGTGGGCAAGAAAGACAGAAACAATTATTAGATTTCCTTACTGCCCACAGCCCACTGACAAGTCCTTGAAACAGGCAGAGTGACATTCTTCTAGGAGCTCAGCTGCCTTGATGTTAATACTTTGCAAAGAGCAAAAGGCAACCTTATCCCCATCCCTGGGAATCCGTAAATCTACTTTAACATATAAAAATTCCTTTAGATATTTCCTTTTTAAAAATATTTTAATTGTTTATTTTTAAAGATTTATTTATTCAAGAGAGACACAGAGAGAGAGAGGCAGAGACATGGGCAGAGGGAGAAGCAGGGTCCCCATGGGGAGCGGGATACAGGATTCCATCCCAGGACGCAGGGATCATGAGTTAAGCCAAAGGCAGATGCTCACCCACTGAGCTACCCAGGTGCCCCTATAAATTTCCTTTTCTCTAAACCCCCCAAGATACATGTTGGTGATCATCCCCCAAGGATATGGCCCACCGACATATATCAGAAGGGTCTCATGACTCGGGCTTTATTACACAATGACCTTCCCCAAACAACAGCTAGCCCCCTAGACGTCCTGTGAACCTTACTTCCAAATTCCTTAGAGACTCACACTCTCCCTAACCCCATCCTGACTTGGAAGTATATAAGGGGCCACTCAAGGGGGCCACCCCAGTGCAGTTCTTGCTGCCATGTCCCCTAATATTCTTTTCCTACACCAGTGTGCACAGTCAGCTGCAAGCTCCCTGGGGCACAGCCCTGATGCTCCTCCTGCAGGCCTCCGTTTAGCATCTGCAGCCCTGGGGGCATGGGAGCAGGGGAACCTCAGGGCCTTTCTGGCACTGCAGCACTTGACCTTCACAAGAGCTTCTCAGGCCTCTCCCAACTCTTGGCTCTCACAGACATTCTCCGTATGTCCCTGGCCCTGATTGGAGCCCGGCTGTGGCTCTCTGCAGTGGGGTGGCTGGGGTGAGTGCCTAGCATCTCTTCCTGCTTTTCAGATAGTTCTTTCCTTTCCCATCTGGCCTTCTCCTTGTCCCTCCCACCCTCACCCCACCCCAAACCCAGCCACTAATTCCTGCAGTTTACCCAGGGCTCCTGCACTCAACCCTCATCCACCTAATAAATGCCTGGACAGCTGTCCTCTCCTGCAGTTACCTCTTGCTCCCAAGGGCCTCACACTTGACCTCCCCCTGGGTCCTGGTCTGGTTGGTTGGCTGGATGTCTGTCCTCCCCCCTTCTGCCCCCCACCCCTTCTCAGACTGATTGTCTACGCCTTTATCATCCTTCATACCTGTCCTTCATGTCCTCATTCCTTCCCTGCCTGAATTAATGGCACCGCCACCCCTGGTCTGAGCTGAGGGGTCCAGGGACATGCCAGGCTCCAATCCCAGTTATTAGAATGGTGAAGCCACTGACAAAAAACAAAGCAAAAAATGAAAAGGAGAACCATCAGAATCTTTGATTTCAAAATTTCAGAGAGAGAATGGATTTCTAAACTTGATTTTCAGTAGATGAAGTTTATTTAGAAATCAAGAGAATGCCTGATGGGTCAGAATGTGAGCTGAGATAGTCATAACCCCAGTTATTTATCATTAGTGTGTGGGGTGCTTGTAAAAACACCATTTCCTTAAGTCTCCAGTAAATACATGGGAGTCAGGGATTGTTCTTGTACATGGGGAAGAAACAGTTTGAAGGGTATGGAATTCAGAGCTCATAAGGGCTGTGCACACTGGCTAGGAATTCAAGGCATCCAGACTGGGAAGGAACTCACAGCTTATCTGACCCTGTCATCTCTCATATCCAACATTTTCAACATCTGCTCCCTTCATCTGCCCCCAAAACTAAAGGCAGTTCTACAGTCTTGTAGTACTGATGAGTTTTCCACCAAAGACTTTTTTTTAATTTTATAGCAAGTGGAAGTGAAACACAGCCAGGAAAGTAAAAACATCAACAGTGACAAGTATGTCTGCTTTGGTTCTAACAGGACAGGTACACTGGACTCTGAATGGCTTCAGGCTCAAATTCCTATATTAGCAGCTGAGACTGTGACCGAATCCTTCCTAGATCCTTCCTTGGCTTTCTAAGCAGTCTAATCTAATCCCTGAGAACTGTTCCCTCAGCATTCTGCATCAAATGGAAAAATACAGAATATAATGTGTTTTGTTTGCTTGTTAGAAAATGCCCTCACTATCTGGGTTGGGAATACACAACCTTAGGGCCATTCCACAGGGCACAGCACACATCCAGTGACCGTCCAAGGAAACAGTGACAATTTGGCTTTTTGCTCTTAGGTTATAGAGTTGACAGAGGTAAGTGCTTGGGACATCCTGCAGTGAATAACATGAACAGAGAAGGCAGGCAGGGACTACCCAGTTGCCAGGGAGTCTTGGAAAACAAAAATCAGCAGGTGAGCTGAATGGACAGAGGAAGCAAATTCAAAGCTCAAATGATGGCCAAAAGTGTTTGCTCAGCCACAGATCTGTAATGCCCTCCCCATGTCCTTGAGCACGCCTGATGCACATGGAAGCCAAACCCCTCAGCACTGCACCCCACACCTAAGGCTCCAGCTTCCTTGGCACGGGCATCCCGTCCCAGGAGCAGCTACACTTCTGCACCCTCATGTTGGGCAGGCTGACCACCCGGGGCCTGGGCCTGCCTCCCTCCTTGACAGTGACGATCATGGGCAGCGATGTCGTCTCCGAGGGGACGCACTGCCGTGGCCCCAGAAGTGGCCACTCGAAGGGCAGGGGCCGCGGGGGCTGCTGACAGGTGCCCACACACTCGTAGGCCAGGAACCCCGGGGGCTCCAGGACCCAGTTCTCGGCCCACTTCATCCCCCGCAGGTCAATGTACACCTCCTGGCGGCAGCAGCGGGCAGCCTGCGTCACCGGCACCTCGGGGTCACAGTCGCCCTGAGCTCTGCGGGGACAAGGAGAGGCTGGGGTCAGCTGAGGGTGCCCGGGGCAGGGGGAAGGCCCTGGGGGAGGGGCGCGTCTAGGAGGGAAGTGTTCCATCCTGGCAGTGTTCAGACGGCTGCTTGTGATAAGGCTGGATGACTACCAGTGGCCAAACAGCACAGAACAAGTGCCATCAGCCCCGAGAGTGGCCGGAGAAATTTCCCGCACCCGCACCCCAAAAGAGCCCCTTCGACGGAGGTGGCAGTCCCTAGGTGCCCCATCCACAGGCCCGGCGCCTACCCGTAGGTCCCCAGGTCCAGGGTGTGCAGCTCCAGCCGGGGCTCCCCCTGCCCGGCGCCCGTGGGCCCCTGGGAGGCAAAGCGCACCAGCCTGTGGGCACCGGAGGCCGGCGGGCCCAGGTGCTCCCTCTGCACCGACACCTGCAGGAGCAGGGGCTGCCGAGGCCGGCTCAGCTGCTGCCAGAAGGTCACGGCCTCCGTCACGTCAAAGGCCTTCCAGCCGCTCTCGTGGAGGGACACCAGCCTGCGTGCCACAGGGGGGCCAAGGGGGACAGGGGCCTGAGCTGGGGAGGAGGGGGTGGGTCCCGGGGGTGGGGGGTGGCTCCCCTCCGCGCCACCCCGCTGGGGACGCCCCCAGCCCCCTCCCCTCCCGTCCCCTCCCGTCCCCTCCCCTCCCCGCCGTCTCCCCCAGCTGGGACCCGCCCCCTGGCGCTCCCCTCCCTCCCCGCCCCGCCCCGCTCGCAGCCCCCACCTGGAGTCCACCAGGGAGGTGCGGTTGGGGCCGTCGTCTCGGACTTGCAGCCACTCGATGGTGACGCGGGCGCGGGCGCTGTGCGGGGACAGCCGCTCGAGCCTGCGGAGCGCCGCCCTGGGTACCGGCTCCTGGAAGAGGCGCAGCACCGCCCGCAGCAGCCACCACCAAGGCTCCTGTATGAAGGACCAATCCTGTCTGCGGGGATGAGCATCTGGCCCGGTGCTCAGGAGGCTGGGGGGAGGGGGAGGCTGCTAGATCCTGGGCCGTGCACAGTGGGAAACCACTATTCCGGAGGCACCTTCCTGGGCAAGGGAACCTGTGATAATTTAGCACCAATGCAGCTTTATCCAATTAGGCCCCATCTGTCCCTCTTTCTGGCTGTTGATGGATTCACAGATTAGAAGTGGAAGAACCAGTCAGTCCATCGCCCGCTTCTGAGCCAAGGCAAGCGATGCTCAGAGACATGACCGCTTCCTAAAGCTCCCACAGTCACAGGTGGCTACAGCGTATGTACTATCAGGGCTCCCAATGGCCATCCTGAATTCCCTCTACACCCTCCAGCTCTTCCCAACCAGAGCCCTGCCTGACCCCGGAAGCTGTCCTGGGGGGCCTCAGTCCAGGTGATGGGGCCAGTCAGCAGTGGGCCAATCATCCAGCTTCCGGAGGCTTCCTGCTTGTGATGGACGGTACCACTGTCCAAGGGCCACTTTGGACCTGGCCCTGGGCCTAGAGCTGAGGGTACCATGGAGGGCAGGGGGCTGGCGTGGGTGTGGGCAGCAAACCTGGTGCCCCCTGGAGAGATGAGTGATGGGGGCTGAGGCAGGAGGGCAGGTGAGGAGTAGGGCCCTGTGCTTACCACCACCCTCCTGCCCCTCCAGATTTGAACCCCCCTAGAATCCAGGCTGCCAGGTGAGGGGTCAGAGGTCATCCTCAGCCTCCAAGGGTCAGGGACCTGCTGGACCTGGCCTGGGCTCAGAACCAGAGGGGACTCTGAGGTCAGTCAGACAGCCCAAAAGCAGCTTCACTCCTGCATTAGAGCCCTACATCTGGGGGCTCCAGGGGCCTCCTGTCCCCTTCCTGTTCAGGGCAGGCCCTGCTGGGGGTGTTCCAGAGATGCCCTGTGGCCTGGCCCCACATGCCCTGGGCCATCCCAACCCTGCACCCATCAGTCTCCTTGATCCCAGGCCCAGGGGCCCATGTGGCCCTTTGGGGTCTTCAGACAAGCTCCCAAGTAGGCCCCACCTGTCCTCCCAGGATGGCCAGGATCAGCAAGGTGGCCCCTCCCCAGGGGCTCCCTAAGCAGGAATAGGGACCCTCATTTCAGTTCATCCAGCCCCTTCCTGGCAGGAACAAGTCCTGGATTGTCCTTGCCGTGCCACCCACTAGCTGCATGTAATTGGGCGAGTTTTCTATCCTCTTCAATAGAAGTCTCCTTGTATAACATGGGAATAATGTACTGTTTTTTTGTTTGTTTGTTTTTTGCAAGGAACTTGTCGGTATTGATCAAGATGTCAGCAGAGTGCCTAGTACAGCCCCCTGGTGTACAGTAGGTGCTTAATAAATAACAGGAGTCTTTTCACAGTGCTACTGATTTTTCTAGTGGTTTTTTTTTTAAAGATTTTATTTATTTATTCATGAGAGACACACAGAGAGGCACACAGGCAGAGGGAGAAGCAGGCTCCATGCAGGGAGCCTGATGCAGAACTTGATCCCAGGACCCGGAAATCATGCCCTGAGCCAAAGGCAGACACTTAACCGCTGAGCCACCCAGGCATCCCTCCAGTGTTTTATTTTAAGAAAATTAAGTTAACACTGTTTTTAAATCCTTTTTTTTAATAATGAACACACATAGTACGAGAGTGAAAGATACCAAGGGTGCATGAGAGACAGCCGGGCTCCTTCTCTTGTTCCTCATCCATCCTTTTCCCCAAGATGATCTGTGCTCTTCAGCGAGACATGTCACTATTTCTCCGGGTGGGCCCTGCCTGTCCTCCCAGGACAGCCAGGGTCAGCAGAGCGGCCCCTCCCCTGGTGCTCCCTAAGCAGGAATAGAGACCCCGGTTTCAGTTCATCCAGCACCTTCCTGGCAGGAGTGAGCCCTGGGCCATCCTTGCTGTGCCACCCACTAGCTGCATGGCCTCCCGTGAGTCCAGAGGACTGAGCCAGCCTCCTTCTGACAGCTGTCCTGTCAATTGGATAAGGCCAGGAGAGCCAGGATTCTGAAAAGACCAGGAAGGTAACAATAGCGGATGTGGCTTGGGCACCCATTGTCCCTCCCCTTGAGTTCCCAGAATACACATTATTAACACTCTCATCTGACCAATAAGGTGATGTACTTGCCCAAGGTCACAGGCCAGCCTTGGCCCCCCTCGGAGCTCTCACTAACAATCTATGACCTTGGACAAGGGTCTTAACTGCTCTGAGCCTCCTTTGTGAAATGTCAGCACTGTTTCCCTCCCAGGGCAAAGTCCCCCGTGAAGGGGAGGGTGGGTGAAGGAGCCCCGGGAGGTCTGTAAGGCAAAGTGGGAGACCAGGCTGCACCAAGGGGGGTGCACACTGTGAAACCACCCGAGGCAGGGCACTGGGACTCCCTTGGGCTCTGGAACACAGCCTCACCTGGTGCCTTCCTCTCCCGGGGGAGCCACTCTTCCCCTGCCCCACCCCTCCCTCCTCCTTCCCCCCTGCACTTGAGCTTCCTATCAGCTGCCTCTTGGTCTCCTCAGACACAGAGAAGAGGCAAAATCAGTAAATATCTGCTTCATTAATTGAAGAGAAAGGGAGGGAGGAAGAGAAGCTTATGGAGAGAAGGGCTTCTAGAAGATCCTTCTTCAGGACAATATTGGAGCAAACAGACTAGTTTATAGGAGCATTTTTCTTTCTGTGCATTTTTTACCTGGTCAAAAAACAGATTAATATTACTAACAACTCTTCCCAAGAAAGGAAAGAGAGAGAGAGGAGGAAAGAAAGAAAGAAAGAAACAAACAAACAAACAAAGAAAGAAACAAACAAAGAAACAAACAAACAAAGAAACAAAGAAAGAAAAAGAAAGAAAGAAAGAAAGAAAGAAAGAAAGAAAGAAAGAAAGAAAGAAAGAAATCTGTGTACAATCCTACCACCTAACAGTGATTTGTTTGCTTTTGAGTGTCTAAACCCTGGGAAGTCTGGTGTTTAGGGGGGAAGGAAGACGGTGTCTGGACTCAGGGCTGGGAAGTCCCCACTCCCTGGAGGTGAGGAGGAGGAGGAGGGGAGGCCAGCACTGCTGTGGACCGAGGCCAGCAGGCCAGGGAGGACAGCCCCACCATCAGGGATGATCCTGTTCTTCCAAGGACAGAGGCTGTGTCAGCTCTGCGGCTGCCTACACACTGGCGATGGGCCCGAATCCGGTGCTGGGCCTCCGTACTTACCTCCTGGGTGTCTGCTTCAGCCGGAAATGTCCCTTGACAGGTGCAGGTATGATCGAGGCCATGAAGGGAACAGACAAACCAGCCAAACAGCCAGAGCCAGGCCTGTTTGGGCCCCTGCCTGCCTTGTGGATCCCAGGGCTGGTAGACCTTGCGGTCCTGCTGCCATCGCTGCTTCCTACCAGGCCTACGGACTCTTGTTCTCTGCGGTGAGGCCCACAGCAGAGAAAGGAAAAGACAAGCTTTGCAATTAGGAGGGAGAGGCACAGGCACACCTAGGCCACGGCATCCTGCCCCCAGCCCTAGCGGAGGACACAGGGTGAGGAGGGAGGTACTGGAGAACAGGCGTCTGGGTCCCTGTGCAACCACACCTGTCCACCCATGCAGCCCATTGTGCTGAGGCTGACGTGGGTGCCCCTGCCCGCTCCCCAGGGGCATACACAGCAAGCCCTGGGAACTGGTGGCCTTAGCAGCTCTGGGCAGCATCCCCCAGGCTGGCAGGCCTGAATCCAGGGGTCAAGGAGCCCCATCTCGTCTGCAGGGGTCAGCCCGCTCCTGCTGCCAGCAGCCCAGGGTGGTGTGGGAGCCCGAGCCTCCTCCATCACCCAGTCACCCAGGCAGGAGCAGCCCATCCCCAGAGCCGGGAGGGCCAGCCTCGGTGGGATGGCTCTGGGACTCCACTGAGCCCTGAATATGGGGACCTGATAACCCGACCTCCTGGCCCTCCTGCTCCCCTTCCTCATCCTGTTAGGGACTTAGGTGCTCAGAGATGGAAGCAAAAGTGTCACATGAGAGAAAGGAAAGAAAGAAAAGGTGGGCTGTGCCACTGTGGGAGGCTCCCTACTGTGGAGGCTACCCCTCCTCCCCCAAACGTGCCCTCAAGATCAAAGGGCCGCTTAGATCCGAGGGGAGGCCTCCAGACTCAGGCAGGCCACCCCCATCCCATGGTTGTTGGGGTGTGTGCCTCACCTAGCCGCCTCTGCGGAGCTGCCTCTTCTGCTAGGATGCTTTTTGTCCTCACACAACACGATTAAAGCACTATGTACAGTATTTTCCTGATTTGTCCTTTTTTTTTTTTTTTTTTGTCCGTTTGAATGGTCAGTGGCCCCCATACTCCCACCCCAGAGACACTTCTGGGGGCTGCATATCTCTCTGGGATCCTGGCTGGTGGCTCCTGGACACCCTGCTCCCCCACCCACCCCCCCAACTCCCCGCCCTCTGCACTGAGTTTAAAAAGGCTTGGATTCTCCAAGCAGGGGGCAAAACTTGCTTGCTGCTCTGGGACTGGAGATAAGGCTGAAAATGTAAACATCCCCCGGAAAGAAAGCGCGTGGACCTGAATCTCTAGAGGGATTCCACAGAGATCTCTATATAAACACACGATAAAACTAAAATGTCATCACAGTACACGTATTGTTTTGAAATTTGGTTTTTATTTTCATTTCCCTTTATTTTTATCATGGGCCTGTTTCCAGGTAAGTATTTATTATTTTTTTAATGGCTCTTAGGAAAATTAAACAAGTAATGCTTGAAAATGTTCTTGATGAAAAAAAAATGTTCTCGATGTCACGAACCCCAGGAGGGCAGGGGTGCCTGGCTGGCTCTGTTGGGGGCACATATGATGTTTGATCTCAGGGTGGTAAGTTCGAGCCCCACACTGGGTGTTGAGATTCCTTAAAACTAATAATTTAAAAAAAAAAAAAAACCAGCTGGATGGGTCAGTGGTTGAGCATCTGCCTTTGGCTCAGGTCATGATCCCAGATTCCTGGGATCAAGTTCTGCTTCAGGTTCCCC